CCAAAATATAAAAAAAAATTTAATTTTGTTAGTTTCATTTAATTTTATATTTTTATTGATAATTCGGAAAATCTCAAAATACATATAAGTTCTTTTGCTTTTTACATTTTTTGAGTATGTAAGTCTATTTTGTGTTTCTTTAGTTGCAATTCAAAAATTTGAAAATATATGGTTTGATTTTTCATTTATTTTTATTTCTTTTATGATTAATTTTGGTGTAAATTTTGATTATAATTCCATTTGAAATATTTTTAAGTTGAATTATTAATAGATTTTAGAACCAATTTTAATATCTCTTTTATTTCACTTTTGTATTTTTCAGTTTAGTTTTACTAACATTTTATTGTATTATTTGTGTCATTACTATTATTATTAGTATTATAATTATTATGCTATGTCCATATAAGTTTGTCCATATGCTGCAAAAATTTGTCCTTATGTTGCATGGCCCCTGCACAAGTAATGCCAAGAAAAACAGTTACATAATCTATGCTGCCCTGTTATAAGACCAGCATATCAGTCCAGAAATTGCATCAAATAACACACACCAAAACCTGTATCAAAAAGCCATAAATCAGATCATCATATTTGTTCAAACTCACCAAATTTTCCCTCCCAAAACCTCATTCTTATTCACTATAAAACAGGCAGATATACAATCGAAAAAGGGAGTTCACAAAGAGAAAAAATACAAAACTTGCAGAAGCACAAACCTGTATCAAAAACCACCAAAGCCTGTACAAATAGCAAGCCTAGTCAAAAATACCAACAAACCATTCCACTCAAAACATAAACAATAGATCCAAGCCTAGTTTCAAAAAAATCACAAACTGTAAATAGAAGCCAACCTTCTAACCTGCACCATTTTGAACCAAGCACAACCATCCACAAGAACTCATCGCCTCAACAACACCAACATTTTCGAGTCAGTTTCTGAAAGTAGAAAGAATCAGAGAGAAAAAGAAAGTGGAATTCACATCCTTACCCGTTAAAGCCTCCGCAGGAATCATAAACTCGTCGGACTAGCTCCGATCTTGTGAGTTCATCTTTTTTTTCTCCCTTTGCATTTTGTATACCGTCGTGATTCATCATGATTTGTTGTTGAATGTTGAAATTTCTTGTTTTTTATTATTTAGCTTTTATAGCCATGCCTGAATCGATTTGTTTTGAGTTGAGTTGTTATCATTGTTTATCACATAAGAAAGATTGAGACAGTTGGAAATAGAGTATAGAACGAGTTACCGTTGTTGTTGTTTTGTTTTAGAGTTAACGAAAGCCATGACGAAACCAGAAGCAGTGTTATTGTTCGATTTCGATTTAGAAGAGAGGGAGAAAGAGTTCGAAAGAGGGAGCAGGATTCGTTGTAGGTGTTGTTCGATTTCGATTTAGAAGAGAGGGAGAAAGAGTTCGAAAGAGGGAGCAGGTTGTTCGATTTCGATTTAGAAGAGAAAGAGTTCGAAAGAGGGAGCAGGTTGTTCGATTTCGATTTAGAAGAGAAAGAATTCGAAAGAGGGAGCAGGTTGTTCGATTTCGATTTAGAAGAGAAAGAGTTCGAAAGAGGGAGCAGGGTGTTCGATTTCGATTTAGAAGAGAAAGAGTTCGAAAGAGGGAGCAGGGTGTTCGATTTCGATTTAGAAGAGAAAGAGTTCGAAAGAGGGAGTAGGGTGTTCGATTTCGATTTAGAAAAGAAAGAGTTTGAAAGAGAGATCGAAGAGAGAGTTCGAAAGAGAGATCGAAGAGAGAAAAAAAGAGTTCGACAGAGAGATCGAAGAGAGAGTTCGAAAGAGAGATCGAAGAGAGGAAAAAAAAGAGTTCGAAAGAAGGAGACACGAGTTTGATCCCATGCTGGACCTTTTTATTTCGTTTTCAGCTTATTTCCCAATGATATTAGCTTTAATTTAGCCTATATTAGATATGGTTTAGTACTTTAGAATTAATTTACTTTAGATTAAATTTAGTAACTTTTAGAATTTTAATTTTAATAAATCTTAGAACTTTAACTTAGTCTAGATATGATTTAGAAAGTTCATGATCTTAGTTTTATTTGTTGTTTAGAATTAATTTAGTAGTTTATCTTCTTTAGAAAATTGGTTATCTTCTCTTTATTTTTTAATCGTCTTAATCTTCCCGAATTAAATATTTCACTGCCTTTCTTGGTATTAATTTGTTTGCTTAAATTTATTTCCTTGCGTATCCTTGATTACTTATATTGTGATGTTCATCTTATTTTTGATTTGTTTGCTTCTACTCCAAGGGAAAGAATTAAAAATTTTGACTTCATGTCATCAAATATGTTATCCGATTGTGCGAAACCCTTCATATTTTTTAGATTTTTTTGTTAAATCTTCTAAAAGAACTCAATTTTAAAAACCCACCCCTTTTAAGTCAAAACTTCGATAATAGGTCGTTGTATCTTCAAACTCTCGCCCACACCTATTTTTAGCCAAATGAACCATTTTAATCAAACAAACAATTTTAACCAAAAACAGATATTTCAAAAGGTTCCTATAGAATACTATAGATACATTGGGTGCTAATACCTTCCCATTGTATAACCAACCCCCGAACTCTAGACCTCTTTTCAAAAACGTCTTGTATTTTCATTACTTTTAAAGTATTATTTTACATTGCACATTTTAGGGTTTTATTTCGCTTTTTTCCCTTTTCCCTTGGAAATAATAAAGCGCGGTGGCGACTCTTGCTTTTGTGAGACGAATTAATTAATAGTTCGATCTCCGATTTACCCCGCTACATTTTTTATCGCTACATCCTAGATCTATAATTTTTCATACTTAAGATTTTTATGAACAACACAACAATAACATAATCACAACAGCAACACATTAATATCATCATTGGGTTCACGAATTTCACATAACAATCATATAAAACAACAGAATTCAGACCAAGAAAATGTTCATCAGATCATTCATGAAAACCTAAAGAGGGAAAGGAATCCTCACTACCCTCTCATGTTAATATCACCAATTTAGAGAACTCATTCACCTCCTTACCTTAATTTGCAACTTTGATTCTTCAACGATAGGGAATTTTCTTTGCCCTAGTTCTCTCATATCTTCTCTTCTTTGTTCCTACGTGACAATAGTTTTTCTCCCCAATGATCTAACTCTCTTCTATTGTATATTATTATCACTAACACTCCACTAATAATAATAATAATAATAATAATAATAATAATATTAATAACAATATTTAAAAAAAATCTTAATAATAACTATAATATTAATAAAATAGTATTATCCATACATCCATTATCATCAGTATTTCTCAAAACTAAGTTTCACCACAAAGTGCCAAAGCAAAATTCAAAATCAACAAAAAATGACTAAGTATTTAAATGGGGCGTTACAGCTAATACCCCCCCCCCCCCCCCCCCTCCCCCTTTGTATAACCAACCCCTATATCTTGGATCTATTCCTTATGCTTTGCTTTTAGTCTGTACTTCTTGCATTGCATGTTAAACAATAGGGTTTCGATCTTTTCCTTTTTCTTTGAAAACAATAAAGTTCGGTGGTGACTTCTTAAGTCATTGTGAGTCAAGTTTCTCAATAGCTTGGGAAACAATAATGTGCTCGTGACGTGAGGTCACCTTTTCCCTTCTTGTTCCCTCTTAGACATTCTTGGGAACAATTATATATATACGCACAAAACCGACTCCAGGTCCGTCATACGCAGTAGATTATAGTACTTGTACTACATTTTGGGTTGTATTTTATTTATCGACTTTGTTGTTACTTTTGGATTGAATTTATGTATTATTGACTTATAACTTTATATATGTCATTTTCTTCATAGCCTTAGTATTGTTGAATCATAGTATAACTTCTAACTATTTGATCTGAGAATCACTTAAAGATAATAAGAATTTATTGTATGCACTAAAGACAGAGATACATCTTCGAATACTTTACGTATGTGTTTCTTCAAAACAAACTTATGTTTAACGAAAAATGAAGCTTCCAGAGTTTCATCTCTGAAACAAACTAACGTTTAACAAAAAAAGGTGCGTCTGAAGATACATCTTCGAAAAATGAGAGTCATTTTAGGAATTACATAGAGTGTTTTTTAGATACATAGGATGGCGTAAGAGATTCCCTATTATTTGTTTGGCTTTGTCTTTATATTATGTATGTTGTATCTTGACTTTTGTTGAGTTATATTCTATACTATTTTTGTGATAATATAGTCTCTTCTCTTCTGATAATATTTTTCTTTATTTTTAAAAAATAAAAAATGTATAATTTATGATTTAGATATTAAAATATAATAAAAATAAACTTATCAAATTTTATTATATTAGTTCAGTTTTAAAATAAAATTTTCTAAAAAATCAAATAAAGTCTTTTATAATTTTATTTTTGAATCAACTTACGAGTATCTTAGTTCAAAAGCTTAAAAGAAAGAAGTTGTTATATAAATTCATTTTCAATAAATATAATTTTCACTTTTGAAACTCGGCGCTCTATTGTACGCTTCCTTTAGATCGTTATCCTCTTTCAAGATTCACAAAACCTTTGGAACCGATTTGACTTAATCAAAAGATCATATATTGATGTCAATTGTTAGGTGTGAGTATGACAATAGAAAACACTCTAGAAGGAATGAATAGACTTAATTACAAATAGTCAATATTAACATGACCCTTAATTTTTTTATTTAAAATTCTCATAGATTCCCTTATGATATTCATTACCAAGTTTTTACTTTCAAATTCATTTAAATTATTTATTTAATATGACTGTTTTTTATTTAATCGAAGATATAGATTCCACAATTACTTAGCCGTTAAGTAAATAAATAAATAAAGTTCACATTACAATATTACATTACAACACGCTCCTCCGTTGAATCAGAAAAGGCGAGGGTATTCCCGTAGTTTCAGTAAAATCCGACCGTTATAGAATTTCAAAACGCACCATTTTCAATTTCGTCCATATAACACATTTTTCTCACCACTGTTTCTCCATACACACTTGTCAATGGCGAATACAAAGAGTGATGAAGAGAGCAACGTGAGATCATCAATCATGGAATGGAAACAGCTGCACCCTCTGCACCAAATCGCGGAAACACCCACCCACAAACTCCTCCTAAAACAATGGCTGAAAGAAGAAGAACTCATCAACGGTCGCATAGCTTTAAAAGAAACCCAAATAGACTCGATCCGAAAAGAAATCACAACACTCTACATCTTCTTCTTCCTCTTCCATTCAACCACCCTCATGCTTCTCTTCAACAACTCGTCGTTTTCTTCAACAACAACAATACCTAACAAAGGGTGTCGCAAATCGTGGGTCCCCTCGGTCTGTTCGTTGTTGTTTTCGTTGGGGTTTATATGGGCTTTGAGGTATAAGAGCGACGTGGAGGGTCATATGGAGAAGATGCTTTGTAGGGAGAAAGAGGATAGGGGGTTGTTGAGGAAGTGTTCGGAGGAGTTGAAGAAGAAAGGGTTGGAATTTGATTTGTTGAAGGAAGTAGATGCGTTGAGGAGGGCTAAGAGTTTGAGAGTTGAGAGTAGTAAAGAGGTGAGGAAATGGTCGTCGAGGGATTTTGTTTCTTTGTTTTTCTTTTCTATGGCTTGTTTGTCTCTTGCTGTCATAAGAGTCATTTTATGTAGTTAGGGATTTGAATTTGGAAGATGGATGGGTTTTGCTGATGGGTTGATGCAGAATGTACTTGTTCTGCTTTTGTTTTTTCTAATTTTCCTGTAATTTGGGGATATTATGTGAAATTAATGAAATAAAAATATTTGCTTCCGAAATAGGATTTGTTTTAGATATTCATGCTGTTTTGCTCTTATCCGAATGCTTTTCTGCCATTGATGAAACTTGAAGATTTTAGTGATGAACATGGAGAATGAATGAATGGTTTTGAAATTTTGTTTCTTCCTTAATAACATGTCACACACTATTAAAATAATGTGTCAGACAAAATAATTTCAAATAATCTATCAAAAATTAAATAAATAATAAATAAGAGACACAAATTAATAATCTGGTTCAATATAATCGTCAAAGCAAAGAAAAATCACTAATTACAAATAGTGAACATTACATGATAGTCTCATCTCCCAGTTTAGTGTCATTTTTCTAATATTACTCTTGAATTTTCGCTCTATCTTCCTATGACCAAGACCTAATCTATCTCAAGCTCACTCTACTCGATCCAACATATAAAAACAATTCACATGTTATGAGAAGATACACAATCTATGATCTCCAATTTCACTATACTCATCTTAAATCTTGAACCGACTCGGGCGTTAGAGTGCTAACCATGCAAGTCCACTCCGTGTCGCCACAACGGAGATTGGAGCTAGTTTTCATTATTTTCTGATTCTTCCGTGAAGGTAGAACATTCATTTGTGATTCCTACATGTACCATTGATACATTGCAACTAAGGGGTGGTTGTTTCACTCAAGTGAAGAGTGAAGAACAAGAGAAGAAATCAATCAAAAAGATTGATTTTTATTCATCAAAATTCTCCAAGTTTTGAGTGTAATTCTAACATAACAAAGAGAGGGTGCATCCTTTAAGATCTATGATAGGTGGTACCTAAGAGCATAATTATCGGTGATAGTATTACACAATTAAGTCACTATGTGTCAGAAAATAATATTATTTAAATTTAATTGGTGTGGTATTACTATATCATCGTTGCTGCAGAAAGCACCATGTCTTTTGCCTTTTGTTTCAATTATTTATTATATCAAATGTAAAGTTAGTGTATATTGTGTGATTAATGAGACTCATTTTAGAGTTTTAAATGAGTGGTATAGATATTTACAAATTTTAGTTAGTGGTTAAAATAATTGGAAAGTGTGAAATAATATATTATATCAAGTGAAGTCCATTTATATTACTAAATTGAATGACATGGATGTGCATCCTCTAATGTTATTTATTACATGACATTGGTGTCTAAATCTTTGGTATTCTGTGTCGGCTTGGTTTGTATATCGAGAATACCATGATTCTAAGTTTTTCAAATGTTCTTGTTACTCGCTAGAGGTTAACTTCCGAGTGGTGTATTTTATTGAGTGAGGCCATATGAACAACATTATAAATGATGTATGAAAGATAACTTTATGAAATGACTTAACACACTTTTTCACTAATACATTGATACAATGTACAGGAGTAGTTATTTGTAACCAACAAAGAAAAAAAAAATCAATTGGAATAACATAGAGGACGCTGTACTTACATTACAAATCAAAATAGCTTATACAAAACTTGGAGTATACAATGCTTTATCATTGTTTGTACACTTGGTCAAGACATCAGAGGAATACACAAATTTTTACCTACCCTCTCTAAGAGTCTCACGAAGGATGGGTTTAGAAGAATCATTTGGTGAAGATTGATCTGCTCCAACAGCAATGCTTGTATTTGCTGTTGAAGTGTAATTACTTGTATCTAATCCTTTCAATGAAAGGTCGGTCATGATGCTGCTCACATCGTCAAATTTCCAGTCAGTGAGGTATCCGGGCCTTGATGTTACAGCGCTCACCTCAATATCTCCTGAAAGCATTGCCACCACACGTGACATGGGTGGCCGTAAAGTTGGTGATGTTTGTGTGCACAAAAGTGCTATTCCCACAAGGCGTTGGACTTCTTCCTTGTTGAATTCTGATAGTCTAGGATCGATCAGATTGCTTGTACAGCCCCTTTCATGAAGCTGCCAAGCCTAGACAAAACACGAATCGAATAACATTAAGCTAAAAGTGGCTTGCTATAATATGTTTTTGAATTATGGATTATAAATTTACATGTCTAAAATGTTGCTAGGGTTATTAAGGCCATGAAATGGTCATTCATATTTTTGGAGAATATATATTCAAAGGAAGAAAAAATAGCATGCATACCCATTCTAAAAGATACATCTTCTCTCCTTCCAAACTTGAATCAGAATTTGGCCTCCCACTGACTAACTCGAGCGCCACAACACCAAAGGAAAAAACATCGGCTTTCTCTGTAAGGTGTCCACGCATAGCATACTCCGGTGCAAGATATCCACTTCATCATGAGTATTACAGTACATTGACAATTTAGTATAATTTGAAACACTATATGCACATCACATCAAATCAAATATTGATAAAATTATGAAACTACAGGATGATCAAGTGTTAGTTACTTACATTGTCCCTGCAACGCGGGTGCTTATATGAGTTTTCTTATCATCGTATAATTTTGCCAACCCAAAGTCAGATATTTTTGGGATGAGTTCAGAATCGAGTAGAATATTACTAGCCTTCACATCGCGATGCACAATACGAAGCCGTGACTCCTCGTGTAAATATGTCAAACCTCTTGCAACACCCATACAAATATCATAGCGGGTCGGCCAATTGAGGAACAAAACATTTCCTGCTCAAACAAGCCAACAATGTCATTAAGTATAAACAAGAGAAATGAAAAAGCAAATATGCATTCATGCATACATGCAAACACAAACATGGAAGAAAATTATCGTATTCGCATACCAAACAATGCTTGATCAAGACTCTTATTTTCTAGATACTCATAGACAAGAAGTCTTTTACTCCCTTCAATACAACATCCATATAATTTGACAAGATTACGGTGTTGCACAGCAGATATAGTAGCAATCTCAGCTACAAACTGACTCTTTCCTTGATGGGATCCTATCGATAATTGTTTGACAGCCACATCTCTTCCATCATTAAGTGTCCCCTTCAAGAATAAAAAGGAAAAATATATTACAAGTGAAATCCTAAATATGCTAATTATCATGCGTATTATTTGAGTAAGAATTGACAATGATAACATGTAGTAGCGCGTTATCATAATTTATAATATGTCGACAACAAAGTATTCACCTTATAAACAGGTCCAAAACCTCCTTCTCCAAGTTTATTGTCACGGTTGAAGTCACTCGTAGCATTTTTTAACTCATAGTAGCTGAAAGTGTTTGGCATTGTATCAATGCCTAAAAGCTCTGCAAAAATTAAGAACATAGTTTAGAATTCTATGGATTAAGATAAGAAATCAAATAGCAGAAAAGAACATTTATATCATTTATAGTAAAATTGTTTCTTTCTACTACAAACACCTAAACATTTAGAATATTGTATGCTAAAAGTGGCTTGCTATATTATACAAAATCATATATAAGGCATCTCCTCTAGATTTTAAAAGTTCATCATGTATAAAAAATATACAATATATTGAGAAAACTCACTTACCATCATCATCATCATAGCGTTTTCTTCTCCGAATGATATAGAAAATGGCGAAGATTGATAGAAGGCATACAACTACAACACCAACAACAACTCCAACGATTAGACCTGCTCTATTCTTTTTACTGCTGGGAGGTTTGTTGCTGACAGTAGGTATGAAATCTACACAAAATTGAATTACAAAATTTTAGAAATTTTCCAGAAAAAAAAGATTATTTCTTGTTACAAATCAACATTTGAACTGCATAACATTTTTTTTTTTTATGTTTTACCTGGTGTAGCACTGATGGCTTGAATCAAGGGCCCATAAGTACCTTGGCCAGGTATGCAACAAGTCCCTTTTCCGGCCCAAAAAAGATGGATCTCGACATAGTTTTCTTTCACTTCAAACCTAAATTGTTTTTGAACAGCTCTATAAGAGACACCTCCGGCTTGTTTTTGTATGTCAAAATCCTTCAAAACACGAGTCCCCTGAAATTTAAAACAGAAAGTATGAAAATTAGACAATGTGAAAATTCCCTTAGCCGCATAAGGACTACATTGATTATATCTCTAATCATTGTGAGATTTCAACAACAAAAATACCTGGATATAAATATCAAATACTCGTTTCCCGAGGCTTTTCCATGTGGTGGAATCGAGAATAGCTGTTTCAGCAAACTGGAGGGTAATGTTATAAAAACCATTTTCTAGCCCCAAACCGTAATATCTTAATGACGACGCAGAGAGCCGAGCAGTTTGAAAAATCTCCGGGTTCACAGTACCAGTGAACTGATTAGTCACAAAACTTTTGAACCCAGGATTGTTGTTCCCAGTAAATATTCCAGCATTACTAACAGCCCATCTTTCAGTATCAGTAACAAAGTATGTAGCAGGACCGAGTGTCTCATTGTCCGTTTGATACACAATTCCATCTGTACTTCTAATTTGAGGACCACCACACTTGATTGCGAAGTCGGAATCTGCACCATGGATCAGAGATTGATCAATGGTCCATAATAATAGTTTTCACCATAATCGTCTTCATCATTTTAATAAATTATTTGAGATTATTCTTTCTTATCCATTTCATTGTCACACAAGAAAAACTAGCTTATAATCAAACTTACATCTTGCAGCAGCACCACGATTGCATGCAAAAGTTTTCTGGAGACAGTTTAGCCCAGTAGGCAAACCACTGCAAATAAATAGTTATGTTTCAAACCATAAATTTTATGACTTTAAACAAATTGATAATAAATTTCAACAGGAAAAGAAAACTCAGATTTAATTTATAAGCAGTTGGCTGCAAAGACATTTTCATAGACCCCAAATTGTTATATTCAATCCTAGAAAATATACATAATAACATCTTTCTTGAGACATTTTTCCTATAAATAGAAGTATGTTCAAATATTTTCAAAGAATTTTTG